CACACACACACACACACATACACACACACACACACACACACACACACACACACACACACACACACACACACACACGCTAGAACACGAACATACACACTCACATCTCAATAGCCAAATAAGTGCGTGCGTATGTGAGTGAGCGTGTGCGCAAATATGTTTTAAAAACGTCCCATTCCATCAGATTTATATCATACTCTGAACACCTCCAAAGGACTTTGACACTTACGCCAATTTGAACGACCGCTCCCCTTCTGCTCCTACCACTTCCCATCTCTCCTTCACCCACACCAAGCCCACGGTGCCTCACCCCCCCCCCTCCATTTCTTAAATTTATCCACGTATCCGCTCTCCCACCTGAAGATTGAGGACAAACCTTATTTGATGTGTTGATATGCGTTCAACTGTGCTGTGTCTCGGTTATTGTAAACGTTAGATAAAGATATAAACAGATACTGCATCCTTACAAACCAACATATAGTTACAGTTACTAAAACCTATATCTATATCTACATGAGTATCTCTTCGTTCACACTGGCCTATGAAGCTATACTCACTTTTATCACGATGATGAGTTATTGAGCAACAACAACACAAAAATCACGAATTGTTGCAGAGTAAACTAACACAGCCAACAGATGCATTGCAGACCAGCAACTTGCACGCGGGAGCCTCGAATGACCTTTGAAGAGACGGCGCGGCGAGGTGACGAGGGAAACGCTTCCTCTGGTGAAAGGTCGGCCTTATTGATGATGACGCGGCTTGGGCTCCGTGTCCCTTGATCTATTATTTTGAAAAAAATCCCTTGTGTACGTATCTCGGTGAATTGTTAAGACACGTTTTAACATTATTATTATTATTGGCATCATTATCTATATAACTTATTATTATTATTATTATTATTATTTAGAATAAACAAGGAACGATTGAAAGAAATCAAATTAGAAGTATCAGATACTTTTTTTTTAGTATGAACAAGAAACGTTTTTTTTTAATTAAATAAATGAAAAAAGATACCGTCGACGAGATTATTCCTCCCTCACGATAACGGTACATGTGGAAATCTTGGTCCGTCATGTCTTGCAAGGAAGACTGCTCATTCGAAAGTAATCTATATAAGGTTGTGGCGTTACCTGTTCGTGTCCCACTGCCTTTCAGAGTCAGGGCGACTGGACACCCTGCTCCTGCTGCACTTTCAAGCATTAGAGATACTTAATAAAACGTCTTAATAAAAGTCTATATGAATACCTGTGTACTGGTTCGTAATTTGCTGCTCCTGCAAACACGTTTCGGTTCATTTACGTTGCATTAACCTTCCTCTCTGATCTGTGTTCACTATCTACAAATAATTATGGGTGCCATGGTCAAATGAAGGTATGAAGAATAAAAAAAGAAATACAGATGTGGATGAGCAAATTCATTACTATAATTCATTGACGTACATACGTGTGTGTGTGTGTGTGTGTGTGTGTGTGTGATAATGCCTCCATAAATGTTCCTATCCAAGCTGGAATGACGTATCTACTTATGTTAGATCTTGCACGCTTGATTTGTGGCATCAGCTTATGTCACTCTTGGCTCTCCTTCTGGCACTCACGTGGGAGGGGACGTTCGGCGCGGGGCGTGACGTCATTTCTTCAAAATTCCCTTTACGAGGGTTTATAAACGAGCTTCGAGAATCCAGTAGGACGCGGGAGTGATAATGGATTATCTCTCTCTTATATCATCCCTCCTCATTATTATCATCATTCTCATTCCCATCCTCGCTATCGTCGTCATCATTATCATCATCATTACCATTACCATCATCGTATTTATGGCCAGTGAAAATGATTATACCAATTCCCACGATCAATTGCCCTATTACCGATGATCCCACTATCATCAAAATCGTAATTCATCGCCGCTATTAACGCCATCGTCATTATCCCCGTCGTCGTAAACCTTCACAGACGTTAACTCGAGGAATCTTCTCTTTCTCTGGCGTCATCCCTCCCACCCTGAGCAAATATCCTAGGAAGCAGCGCAGAATGGCGGTCCGAGAGATTGCAGCAGTTTCTTCCATCCAAGGAATTACAGCTGTGGGCAAGGCGAGGCGAGGCAAGGAGGAGGAGGAGAAGGAGGAGGAGGAGGAGGTGCATTATCTCGCGCGCTGTTTGAAGACTTTGTTCTGTTCTAGATCATTACCTTCTCCACGTACCGAAAGGGACATGTTTCTGTGGGAAGAACTTTGTACCTGACGAGGGCTTGCATTTCTATATACATTACTTCATGTGATTTTTTTCTTTTTCTTTTTTTTTTCTTTTTTTTACATTTCCTGGAAGTCTTGGGTGCTTCAAGTAATGTTTTTAATTTCTGATCATCTCCCTAGCTGTCGTCATCATTGGTATGCAAATGTCTACATCTAAACACGTAAATGACTCGCAACAACATATATTTCTAAGCATGCGACTCGAATACACTCACAAATAATTTTTCTTTCGATGTGGGATCGGTGTACCATATTGCGTTGCGAGCACCATTGATTTCCATTACAGTGCAGTGCGCAAACTTTTTTTTTTTTACGTAAAAACAGATATAAGTCTATCCTTTAGACTATAAAAGATATGAGTTGATCTATACTAGATTGTATATAAACGTCATTTTCGAGGTATTGTTTATTGTTTTTGCCTGATCGTGCAAGCAGATATGATAACCTAACAGATAAGCAAACTTTATAGACTGATATCCACTTGCTTCACTCTGACAAAGACAAAAAAAAAAAAAAGATTGTAAAATTCAGGAACCCTTTATCAAGTGCTTATCATAAGACCCACCTTTAGATAATGACAGAATATTTATTATCATGATAACACATTTTATGAATAATTTCCTTTTGCAATATTTCGCATTGAAGAATATCACTAATATTATCTGTATTCATAATATGGTGTACATAAGGTTCCCACATAAACAAGATGTGTTTTGTTTATGATAATCTTGGATATATTTAGCGATGTAGTAAGGCTCTGTATGTTTTAGATCAGTAGGAATGAATTAAACATGTATGTGTGTGTGTGTGTTGTATAGAAATGGAGAGAGATAAAATTGTGTAAATGAATACAGTTTACTTTTTTTTTTTTTTTTTTTTTTTTTACATGAAGTTTCCATGACTTTCTGTACTTACTAAATTTGGTGAATTCCGTTAATCTAAATTGACGATATTCGATAAGAACAGTAAAAAAACAATCATTCCGAGGACGCGGATATCAGGCACAATTCTTTTATTAAGCCGCGCCCTGTTTATACCGTTACTGAAACTTGTAAGTAATACCTCTCTTTCACACAAAAAATACAAACAAAATATCAAAAGCTCTCATGACAGTTTATGAAAAAATTAGTAATCTAATGAAACGGGCTCTTTCCTCCTGTTAAACTACTTTGCTATAAACATTAAAACTGTTATATGAATAATGTCTATATTAGCAACAGCACTAACTCCTCAAGTTAAAACGATTTCTTGGCACAGTATTTCCTCCTACCTTTGCCCATAATACAGTTTTGGATTCTAGAACTTTTCCTCCTAATCCTTAACACATTTCTGCGCTTTCCCAATTTCAGCGCAGCAGTAAAGTGTTTTCCCCCCCTCTTCTCATCTTCAGTTTTATGTGCCATATCCACTCGCCCTTTCTCCAGAAGACCGCTTTTCCTCACCTTGTCAGCCTGGAGCAAGTCGCAGCGAAGAGCATTCCATCTCGAGCAAGGAAGCGTCTTCTGAACGCTGTTATTTCGAACTTTTTTCTTGCCGTTTTTGCAAAGTTAGTGGGAGTGTGCGGTAGAGAACTGTCTTTTGCTGGATGTTCAGTTATTATCTTTACTGAAAATAAGACCTTGGGGTGTGGATATAGGTCAATTGTAACGGCTAGAAAAAAGGCTAATACTCATGCGAGAAATACATTATGTATGTGTGTGTGTGTGTGTGTGTGTGCGTGCGAAAGAGAGGGAGAGAGTGTGTGTTACATAAATGTGTCATACCTCATGCTAGTAAACAGTGGAATGATACTGGCTAAACATTATAGTGACAGCTTATTCTCCTAAAGTTGTAAAAAGACAAGATCATGTCAGCAGCTTGTTCTCTTACTTTATTCATCTTTCATTTTTAAAACATAAAACTATCTCCAATCTTACTTTGGTGCCAGGTGCAAACACACAAGAAGCACCTTTGCGAAATGACACAGCGTCTTTGCTACGCCACACCTTGGAAGATCAAAAGTACACAGGGATAGATTTCACAATCGCCAAGTCTAATCATAAGCCACTATACTTATAAGGATAAGTGGAATCTATATCAATAACAGCAGAATCGTACGAGAAAGTGGCAGTAATGGATGTGTATTGCAATAATTGACATATTTCATGATTGAATTCTAAACTAATAATCCCCAAGGAAATATCTAAACATGACATAATTTCAAAGAACATGACATTTTCTTACAAGCTCATGGTCTCTCCACAAAACCAACATCTTTGACGCTATTCAAAACAACTGACTTCATGCTGCGTAACAGTCAACCCTTACACCAACTGACAACCATCCATCTTACTTAACCAAAATAATTCCTTAGTCATGGTTATCGAGGTTGTGAATGAAATTGGTGTGGTAAGGGTGTAAGTAGGCTCATTTGAAGAAAAAAAGTGACAAGTGTTTTCGCACCCAGAGCTGGTTTGGACTGTAATAAATATCCAGTTTCAGAATGAAAACCAACGCACATTCACACATGCAATGTATGTGTGCATGCGTGCGTGTGTGTGTGTGTGTGTGTGTGTGTGTGTGTGTGTGTGTGTGTGTGTGTGTGTGTGTGTGTGTGTGTAATTGAGAGTTAGTGAGTGCGTGCGCGCGTGTGCATGTTTGTACGTGGGCTCTGTCACTTTGCCAACAAAACTGTTGTGCTTGTTTTTTCCTCCCGGCTTCCCCTCCCCTCGAAAAGGCAAGACTAATCTAATTCCGATCTCTCCCCTCGCAGGATATCCCAGGGGCGAGCCAGCACCGAGAGCCGGAGAAGGCGGGGTACCTGACGAAGCTCAGCGGCCGCAGCTTCCCCTACATCCCGCAGTGGAAGCGCCGCTACTGCGTCCTCGCCAAAGGGAAACTCTACTACTACGAGCGCGAGGACAGCAAGGCCGGCGACAAGAGCAACGGGGTCATCAACCTCGAGTACTTCGACCAAGTGGCCGAAGCCGGACCCAAGGACTGCAAGAAGGCCACCAATGTCTTCATCATCACCTCGCAGGACAGAAGCTTCTTCGACCCCGTAAGTTGGCGTCTTATGAACATTTCTTCTACAACTACTATTCTCTTCTTCTTCTCCCTCTTCCTTCCTCTACTACTACTTCTCTTTTTCTTTTCTCTCCTCCATCTCCTACTACTACTTCTACTATACTCTACTCCTTCTCCTCCTCTTCCTTTCCTTTTTCCTTTTTTTTCTTTTCTTTTTTTCCTCAGTTTTGGTTAGTTGATGTACAACGGGATGATCATCAAGGAATCAGTTTCTTCAAGAAAACCCAATTTAATTCAACAATTAGAATAGAATCATTATTGACACTGTAATAAATAAGCAAAGTGTAGTTTTGATTGTGAATAATCTAAAGTAAAACAGTGGAAATGCAAACAACACACTGGCTAATATTAAAAAAAATGCTTTGTTTATTGTTCAAATATGAAACACGTTATTCAACTTTTAAGACCTTTAATTAAATCTACTTTCAACAAAAGGGCAAAACTGATAATGACAATTGGTGTTTTGATCTTTGTTATATAAACGGACTTGGCATCGAATAACCCTTTTAATTAATCCAAATTACAGACTCACAGACCCCGCCCCTCGTTTTTATTTTTGCCCCAATTAGATGCTCAGAAGTGTAATCAAATACCCGTTCGTACACAAGAACACGAACGCAGAGACACTCACACACACACATACACATACACATATATCTATATCCATCTATGTGTATATATACACATATATATAGTTAATATATATGAATAAATATACATATACATACATGTGTAAATATATATATATATATATATATATATATATATATATACATATATCTATCTACAACGTAGATATATATATATATATATACACTCTATCTTTCTGAAGAACAAATGGTGAGATAAGCTGTGAACTTGATCCCGGAAGTCTTTTCATCTTATCACATCATTTCCCTTCCCTTCCTTAATTTATTACCTTCTAGTTTATTCTCTCATTTCTTGACAACTCTTCTCTACATTTTGCTTCCTCTGTTTCTAAAAATTATTCTCACCATCATCATTATCATTACCATTACTTTTATTTTATTCATACTACTAATATTCATGACAATAATAAAAGCTAGCATTATTATAACTACTAGCTTTTGTTTCGTCTTCTTCTCTTCATTCTTATATCTTCTCCTCTTCTCCCCTTTCGTAAATTATCCTCGTTCTTCCATGTCTTTGTCCTCTCTCACGACGAAACAAGAAAACGAAAACAAAGAACAAGCTGAACCGAACAGGAAATGACAAGAGTATTTTTTTGATCGAGGGGGCTAAAATAAAAACGCCCCCCCCTTTTTTTCAAATATGGGCATAGAGAAGACTGGCTGGGGGGGGGCTGAGGGGGGGGGGGGTTATTATGTGACATGGCCTTTATCATTCTCCCCCCCCCCACCCTCGCTCCTTACCCCCTCTCTCTCCTATTCGCTTGCGTGCCTTGGGTAACTTTTCTTGTGCACGCAATGGCCGGGTTGGCAATTTTCAGTTCCATATTTAGTTTTGCCATTATTCCATTTTTGGATGCGATCGTTATGGCCTGTAATTTACTCTAATCAAGTCTATTTTTGATTCGTGAATGGCCACATGCACTGATTGTATGTTTGTATGTGTATGGGTCTTTAAATGTGTGCAGTTTGTTTGTATACACATTCACATCTACGACTATATGTTTGTGTAGCTTATATGTACCTGTGTGTGTGTGTGTGTGTGTGTGTGTGTGTGTGTGTGTGTGTGTGTGTGTGTGTGTGTGTGTGTGTGTGTGTGTGATTTATAGTCTTCCGTTTCATTAGCGTAAAACCACATGATTTATAGTCTTCCGTTTCATCAGCGTGCAACCTGACTGCTGTCGATTCCTATAGATACACACACCTCTGCTGATCCGTTTTAATCACGAAACGTTATCCTGTGCAACACAAGGACCAGCGAAATTAAATAGGATGTGCGCTCGTGAAGACTTATGCTGAGACATTCCATTTTATCCCCACACTTTGGTTAGAATTAGTTTTCGTTCTCATGTTCCTAAACATTTAATTTCCGGCGGAAAATACATGGAAATCCTTCGCCATCGTTACTGGAAATCATATCAGTGATGAATAATTCTCTACTGTAAACATTACTTTGTCTTACTTTATCATCCTTGTTGGGTCGACATTTTTAATTCCCTTCCTTCTGACTATGACTCATTCTTTTATCATTCTAATTTAATATCTGTTTATTATCAATCTACGCTGACATTCTTTGTACATTTTTAATTATCATTCCTTTCAATCCCTTTATCATAATTGTTCATTTCGCGTTCTAAAAAAAAAAAAAAAAAACTATGCATAAAAAAAGCAGGCTCATACGAATATCTGAATCACAACAAATATTTGCCAATTACTTCACATCCATTTGGCTAGCTTGTCGTTTGCACGAAACAAATCTTTCACAAACACGCGATTTTAGCAGTCTCTGGAGCATTTTGTCTATACACCATCATTTAACCCGATGCTTAAAACCTTACCTGTAAAATCTAATGAAACTGTTTACAGCCATTCCTATTGGCGATAATGAATTGGATATCACTGGTAATTGTATCGCCTGCATAATCAAAATAGAGAAGATTAGATATGCATTTATGTAATGTAATTTTCCTTTGTCCCTTATGAATCTCGGCAATGCTATAAATAATGCAAAAGTACAACTATTAGGAAATATAATATCGGTATTTCGATTAAATAATCAAATGACATAAAATCCCGATATTTGGCTATTATTTTTCCCTTCCATTACAACCCACAAGGAATGAAACTGCAATCAGTGGTTTAATTAGACAAGGCAATTCGCGACAATATATATTTATGGCAAAAAGGGGGTTAGAAACACTGTAACGAATGTAATATGTAAATAATACATACAAATATTCTTTAAGTTTCACATTATAAAACACTGTCACGAATGTACAATATAAAAATGATTTTTAAACTACATCATTTTCGCACATCTCAAGAGAGACAAAAAAAAATATAGATCTATATCTCTCTTTTTTTTCTCGTACATAACTATGCCTGAGACTTTTAACACACCCAGTCTTATGTCTTCCTCAGTAACGAGACAATCATTTACTGCCATAATCTGATTAAACATATCATCTAAATCACATAGAAAATACATATACGCTGATAATGAAAGAGAACCACATGAGCCACATTCATGATCTTTTATGAACATCAATGTTCTTAAGGGAGTTAGCATTTCACTTACAACTTTGTATATATATTAAATGCGTGACGTTCAGCACATTGACCTAGTAACAACTTGAAGACCATTAAGTTCAGCTTCTTAAGCTTTCTTACAGTCTTCTTTGGAATTTTACAGTTAGCAGAGTGTTTATGCGCGGCACGAGAGAATTATGTATGCAAAACAGCTGCGATTTAAATCTAACGTTTTGTCTTAAATATATAGCAGGCCAAATTCACTAACCTTCGTCCTTACACATGCCTATCTACATCTATCATGTACTTGTTTAATAAACAGCAACAACAGAAAAAATAATTTCAATAGGTAGTAGTGACTATCACATTTTATTATATGTTGCCTAATATAATTTCATCAATTTTTTTACGTGATATACTGGGGTTAATTTCTTGTGATACTAATAATGAAAAACGTAAACAAGCTTACACTTGCTTGTGCAACAGGCATATTCAATTTATGATTAGCCAGGGATATCGAATAAACAGATTTGCGATGTGAAATATAAACCCATATAAACACACACACTCGCTGTTTTGTGTGTGTGTGTGTGTGTGTGTGTGTGTGTGTGTGTGTGTGTGGTGTGTGTGTGTGTCATTCTCTTCATCAGTAAATTTGTGTATCTGGTTTAACACTATCTAGCACACCATCCCTAAATCAGCACATAAAGTTCAAAGTTTGTTTTTATACACCTCTTCTTTAACGACCTACTGGATGATATATATATGTATGTATATATGTATCACACACACACACACACACACACACACACACACACACACACACACACACACACACACACACACACACATTTACTTTAGAAATTACTTGCTTCTCGAACTATCGCCCTCTTTAACGATGTCCTTTTACCGAAGTCCCATCTGACTGGCCCTTGCATTCTCACCCTGTTAAAATACCCATAAACATTTGCAAAAGTCACACTTGCACAACACGCAATTATTTTCTACTCAAGTACACTGTGTTTACTCTCATAATGCTGTTGCTCTGGACATCAATTACCCCCATTCTACCCTTCTGTTTGCTTTATGATATAAATCTCGATTAAATTCCTCTCTGACTTTATTGGGTCGGTTCGAAGCCTTTCTTTATCGCAATATGTGTACCAGCGATTATTAATTTACCGTCAATCAGTATGCTTTATATTATTCGGTTTTCCAAAATAATGCATTCTAATAAACAGTTTCACCTGACACCCACACACACACACACACACACACACACACACACACACACACACACACACACACACACACACACACACACACACACACACACACACACGAATAGTCGACGCTTTATGACGACCTAATAGTTAATAGACTTTCTTCATAAGCAATTTCCAAAGTTAACTCTAGGCTCGGTTAGCATGAATAAAAAAAAATGCGAGACTGATGAAAGAGCGAGCGAGAGAGAAAGAGATGAGGGTGAGAGTGTGGGTGTGGAAGAGGGAGAAGGTGAGGGAGGGAAGGTGGGAGAAGTCACGTAAACAAGTCGACATGACATGCAGTTCATCCTTAGCGAGGAAATCAACATTAGAAAGAGAGAGAGAGAGAGAGAGAGAGAGAGAGAGAGAGAGAGAGAGAGAGAGAGAGAGAGAGAGAGAGAGAGAGAGAGAGAGAGAGAGAGAGAGACGAGAGAATCAACCCCGAGAGCAGAGGAGCGAAAAACGACTCAAGAGCATCAAAGTGGAGAACAACTTTCCCCCCGACGTTTTTGCACTCATCGACACGACATGCAGTTCACCCTGAACCGCAAACAGAGCACACCCCTTCTAACTTACTCCGCACTTTCGCACGTCCCTTCCTCCTTCGTTTGCAATGATTAACGACCCTCTTCCTCTCCCTCCTCCTTCAGGGTCGACACCTGTTCTCGGCGGACACCCTGCCGGACATGAAAGACTGGATTCGGAAGCTTCAGTCAGCCTTGGACCAAATACGAAACAACAATCGACCTGCGACTTCGACCTCATCCTCCGTGAAAGAAGGAGGAAAGAGAAGGAAAGAGGATAACGCAGAAAATAAGGAGAACGTACAAACCGCAACTAAGGAAAGAAAGAAAAAGAAAGAAGTAAGTATGGGCGACGATTTTAATCAATGAATATATGCAGATATTTATTCAATACACGCATATACACGAGATGGATGCGAGAACGTCGGAAACTTACAATCCACATATATTTACAGTCATCGCATACGTTGTGGTGCCCCTCCATGGTATGTAACAGCTCTATAATCTAATGTGTATTAGATGGCATGTCCCATTTTTGGCACCTAGTTGGCAGTCACACCTCCATGTAATCAACGTCCTCTGTACGACTGCAACATTTCCTGTAACTTTTTATATAGAGGTGAAATCGGGTAGCTAATTGGGTCTGAAGTTTGCATTACGTCTGACCTTCACAATGAATTAAGGCAGGATGGACACACTTCCTTCCCGCTGGTTTATTGGATGATATCAGAATCCGAAACTTAATCAAATTAGACTTCACTTACAAGATTGCTGTTGTCTTTCCAAAGGTGCACATCGGCATATCAACAGTGACATGGAGGTTATAGCTATTTTTCCTAATCGTCTTCACAGTTATGTAATATTCCTTTGCACCGCACGTAGTTTGTTGACAACGCCGTCCTTTGACAACAAAGTGACGAACAACACGATAAACACAAAGACATATGTTTGACCTTTAACCCAAGTCAGTGACTCCCAAGCTTCAACTGTGCTGCAGGCCATGTAGGTATTTGTATATCTATATCAGTAGTTATAGCGACTGGCCGTTGTGCTTACCATGGCACCATCAGTTTTAATGAGAGGATATAACTATATATGTGTATGTAAAAAACACACGTTTATATGAATGCACATCCGTATATATCTCGAACTTCATAAACGTTGGTTTCGGTGTTCACTCAATGTTCAGTAATTACAACCAGAACTATTACTGTATTTGCAACGTTAGTTGTTGCAAAAAATAGGATTATTTAACCTTTACTTGTGATAAACATTCATCCATTGTTTTCATTACGTTCAGATCAACAAAAATTCATACTGTTCACTCTCTCTTACTTCACACTTATATTATCTTTCTGACCCGACAGGATTCCTACCGCGCCCGCAAGTCGACGCGTGTGGGCGTGAGCTCCGAGAGCCAAACGGAGGCCGTGATGGCGGAGAGGGACTCGGAGCCGCCCCTCACGCCTCCCCACAAGGGCGTGCAGCTGCCCGGGATGTCGGCGCTCAAAGGGATACAGCTTCCAGGCATGGTGCCGACGGAAGCGTCTCGTCCCGCCGCCGCGTCCACGCCAACGGAAGTAGCGAAGGAGCCCGAGGACAATGAAGACGGCTTGCCGACGGCGGGTCCCACGCTCACATGCGTAACCAAGCAGAGGGTGAAGGGCCCTCAAGGTATTACTGGTCCTATTCATGATTCTCACTGACTGCAAAATCGATGTGGCTAGACAACTCGTCGTTAATGGCGAAGCAGGAAATCGCTCTTAGTGAAATGTGAAATAATCATAAATATCACTTCATATTCCTTTTTTTTTCTTTTGCAAGAAAGTAAAATAATTTTTCCCAACCGCATACACAGATATCACTTCACAACAGATTTAAAAAAGTGAACCATATCATATGTACCTAACTTCAGGTCTTTAAGCATCCGGGAAAAGCCATCCATACTACCCTTCCCCTTGTCGTTGCAGGTCGTCGTGCGCCACAGAACCGACGCACTCTCGCCGCCGCAGCCTTGAAGAACCGGGCAAGCTCCCTCTCGGCGCTTGAGTACCAAGAGCTCAACGACAACAGGTCAGAGTCTAGTCAGGGCAACAGGGGTTCGTCAAGAGATTCAAAGTCATCAAAGTCATCCGAGAATGACGTAGAGAAAGTAGAGGACAAGCCGGAAGTCCGCACTGAGAGCTGGTTCAATGACATTGACAGCGATCTTTTCTTCTCTAAAAACGTTCAGGAGAGGGCGAGGGAAGGGCACGAGAACGGCCCCAAGAGGGTGTCGAAGCGTTCTTCCACCCTGAAGGTCAATTTCGAGGAGAAAAACGTAAGAAAGCCTCGCACTCGCTCGAGAAACGGCTCGCTCCTCGGATCGAAACTGTCGCGGATGAGAGAGACGTTCGTGTCGATCAAACGGAACAGGTTCGAGAGCAAGGAGCCCATCGGAGCGAGCCATCCCGACGAAACGGATACTTCTCGGTGGACTTGCAGTATCTTGTAGCGTGGCTTTTCCACCGCGGAGGCATACAGAACGTAGATTACTGATACACTTACGTTACTTTTAAATAGTGTACATAGATCTGGCAGACTTAAATATATTTTACTTGCCAGGAAGTCATTCTTTAGTCTGAGAAGGTATATATAGTCAATACAGTTATTTTATGTATAAATATACAAATAGTGCAGTGTCACGTCTATTTACTAAATACTCGTGTGTTGCTTTGACTCCAGTCATTAGGGAAATGTTACCTTGATGAAGGTAATCATTCCACAAGAAAAGTGTTCGCGAGTGCTCTAATATGTTCATATGTCTACTTTTCGTGTGTTCGAATATATCCAACAGTTGCGCCAAAGTCAGATTTACATTGTACTAAACATGACTTCCAAAATACATGACGAGGATGCGTTTATCTTGCGTGCCAATAGTTAGAATAAAAGCTACCTGAAATTTAATAAAGATATTATCGCTAACAAGAGCATGAACGGCAAAGATACAATGAATTAAGCAAAAAAATCGACATAATTTCGAAATAAATGAACTAAACTTTTCATGTTCCCCTGAAGATTTGGAAATCTTAAATGAGCTCCAAAGTTGTTTCACCTTTTCAGTTTTCAAGTTTAAGATTTTTCATTGATCTTTAATTAAATGCACGCATGTTGCTGAAGTAGAAGACGAAGATCTCGATGGTTGAATTGGGAAATATTACACATGGCTGTGAACTGACACCACGTACATAAATGTCTCTGAAAAAGTTGCTATTCACAGGGTATTTTATAAGTAAAGAGTTGAGGAGTTACCTTTCCAAATATATTCCCTAACATCCATACTATCTGCATGTGACCCCTCCTTATCTTTTCTGCTTTTAACATCTTTATCTTCGTTTTATGGCCGTGTCTTGCCTCCCACGCGAGCAACGCAATCAAGTCCAAGCCGTGTCATTAATGCAGTATCATGCATAGCCAAAGCACACTCGTCATAACAGCTGCTGGGACTAACTCTTGTCACGTATGCCAGGGGGTCACTTGTACATACCACAGCCTTGCCTTCCTCCTGTCTTTCCCATGCAACTTGGGATTCCAATGTCACATTTAATTATCAAAGTCTTATATTATTGGAAGTTTGACTCGTGCAACACCGTGTACTCAAAAACCAAAGAACACACAAAATAACAGGCCTCAGGCAAAACGATCACTGAAGTATTTCAAATATCAAATGTCTAGGCATCTTATAGCACCGCAACCAGGCAGATTTTTTTCAAGGTCTGTGCGTTATACGGCTGGCATATTCTAAACTATGCAACAGGGTATATGTAAAATAGGGGGAAAATAAAATTGATAGATTTTAAGTTTAGATACATGGGGAAAGTTGGTCGTTATATAAAGATATTGGTGCAGAGCTTGTACAAATAATTATACGCCAAATCCTTACAAAAGGCCTAAAGTATAATGACCACTTACTATTTTTGAACCGACACCTTTGATAAATTTAATTAATAGTTTCTTATGTAAATATAAACACTGAATATTCTAATTTTACTGGATGTTAAAATGAAAGTCGAGAAGAGAATAACTTTACTTCAGTGTTCTCGATTTTATTCCGTAACTTTTATAAAAAGTTCCTAAAAAGTCACTATTATAAGAGCTTTACAGCCTTGGAATCTTTCCTTTAAGGGGATCAAAGGCATTTTTTGACATTAAAGATAAATGTATCTAGTCGACATACATGATTTATTTATCAGTATAAATGTATGAATTCAAATATTAACCACTTCTGGATCGTGAACTTGCAATCCCAGTGTTTGGAATTACAATATCTTGAATATGAAATTAATTTTCCTTGTTACGTCCTTTTAGATTCGTGTCGGAAATCCCGACGTTTAGTTAATGATTCTGGAGGATCTATGGATGGATCAGATGTGCAGTCTGCAACTGTGCCTTCCATGTGCAATGTGATATGCAACTTTCACTCTCTGCGGTTGCGTGAAGGTACTTGTGAACATTGTGACGACTTGCACTGTGCTTCCTGTAACTGTCTGTAGCTCAAATTAAAAGACTGAGGAGTACAGGCTCTTGGGGAGAATGTCAGCGTGATAAAGAAGGTAATGTTAGCGCCACAGCATCAGTTCATCCCTGCTTTTTCATCTCCTCGTGTCTTGGAGACGATGTGACAGATGTGGCCTTATAAGGAAGTCAATTTTGTAACTCCGGAGGACATTGTTGTATATGCATCTTACTCAGCTACATTTTGAGTTATCAGTGTAGAATGTAGTTGTATTTCTGATTTGTTTTCTTCTCCTCCGGTTAGTAGAAAGAAATACTTCAGTGTCTTACCTTTTCTGTATGTGTAGTCTTGGTGAAAATTATAGTTTTGACATGCATAAAAGATTGCTCATGTATTTTATAGATTAAATGATGTATTTTCATGCATTTTGTAAATTTTACATGTAGGCTACCAGTACAACTGTCCCATTATTTTGCCTCTGTTTTTCTAAGTTCAATATGTTTGTAGCTCAATGTGAGTTAGTCTGTATCAGAGTCCCATATACACATTTGAACGACCCTATAATAGCTTTATATTTGAATGCTTGCATGTTGTATGGATGTGCAGTGATATATTTTGTTTGACTTTACATATAGCAAGTTCTCACCTCCATGTAATGTTTTGAACAAGTTCCCTTTTTGTGTGTAGAACCTTTTAGTTGACTGGACCCTATAGTTAATAAAGTTATGTTATGCAGTAGATGTGTCCTTTCATTAACCCTTAACCAGAGAATGTCTAGTTGAACATGTACTAGTGGCCAGTTGTGCAACCCTTGAACACCAGTGTCTCTGTCTGTCTTGCTGGTGATACGTGTAGGATACGGGAGAAATCTTCGTGAACTTCAGGTAAGGAAGGTTTGAATATATCATGTCAAAAGGTACTTCAATAAAGTTACGCCTTTATATGTAGTTATTATCGTATGTTTCCTTATAGTTGCAGATTTTCAGAGCAGTAAACTACATATTTTTATACTTTTTATTCTCATTATACTGACTTCTTGCACAAAACATACTGATACATACCATGTAATTGCACTAATATTCTAATATGCACTAGACTTCATTCAGTCAATTAACTCGGTAATACTTTAATCCTAACGTAAGAACGAGGAAAAGCGAGAGACTATTACCTTGATCTAAGTAATTAGCAACATATATTAGAAAATTGTATAAGCAAGAATTCAAGCAGGTAAGTATAATTTTGAGTGCTTTCATTACTTATCACCCTCTTTACTTCAGTTTATGATTGGCTTGCCTCACCCTGAATGTTTTTTTGCGCTGTTGCACAGAATTTTAACCAACCTTCTGCCGTTTGTCGCTATCATAGGATGTGAACCCACTTCCCTTACTGTCTGTTGCTCTCTGATATCTTTTGGAAGGATGTACTCCCCACCAACTCTCTTCTTTTCTCTCTCTCTCTCTCTCTCTCTCTCTCTCTCTCTCTCTCTCTCTCTCTCTCTCTCTCTCTCTCTCTCTCTTCTCATACATATATTTGTAAAATTATGCATATGAATCCTCTATATATACACGTGTGTGTGTGTGTGTGTGTGTGTGTGTGTGTGTGTGTGTGTGTGTGTGTGTGTGTGTGTGTGTTGTGTGTGTGTGTGTGAGTGTGTGTGTGTGTGTTGTGTGTGTGCGCGTGCGCGCACTTGATTGCGTGCATGTGCGTGTGCTTTTGGGCGTGCGTATCATGTGTGTATTCGTGCACATCTCCGTATCCGTATGCACGTGGTGGTCACTTAATGTAAGTGCACAACACAATGCATACCATGATTGTATGGAAGGAGTAAACTGCTCCTTTTTTGTACTTAATGATAAATTAGGATAAACGGAGCAACTAATTGGATTCCCAACGCCCACATCATACAATAAATCCAATCACAATTTTGAGCAATGTTCAAAAGTTGAGAGAAAAAAAATCACTTAATTCATATCTAACAATGTTCCAACTGCTGTAAACTGTGCCCAGGCTATATCTGACATCAACGTATGGAAGTGGAAACATTGTAAGTGCTGTAGATAAATAGATCTGACATTTTTTAGGGTGCAGACCAAATGGCATTTTTTTTACTCTCGAGTTTTTGCTTTACACAAAAACACTGTTGTATGTATGTATTTATGTGTGTTTGTCTTTTTCTATTGAACGTGTATTTGTACCACCACCGCCTAAGTTCAGATTGGGGAACTCATAAATCTTTGAATGATTTATCCATAAAAATATATTCAGACCAAATTCATTTGCTCACGCATTGTAATCACAAAACGTTAGTTTTACAGGAATCTATTTTCTTACTTATCTAGTCTGTGTCAGGATTCACTCTCCTCTCTCTCTCTCTCTCTCTCTCACTCTCACTCTCACTCTCACTCTCACTCTCTCCTCACTCTCACTCTCACTCTCCTCTCACTCTCATCTCACTCTCACTCTCACACTCTCTCTCACTCTCTCTCACTCTCTTTCTCTCTCATATACAACCAATACACCAAACGACAAGGTCTTTGATCAGTAGTCCTCACACGTAAACCATATATTGTCACATTTGCATTGTAACAATCTATAGTTTGTTTTGACTGCGTATCATATGCTTCACACTTTATAACACTATATTATACTATAAAATCCATCTTCCATTTCAACTCTCCTTATACTTCATCAAGCATGGATTGCAACATGTTTCTTTAAAGGGCAAACTATTCTAATCCTTCTTCCATCGTTCCAGTGAGGCTCCCTGGCTGAACAGATCGCTCGACATGCTCGAGGACGGCGAGAGAGGCGGTGACGGCGCCCCCGGGGGACCCGCGCCCGCAAACGGCTCCCAGCTCGCCCTCGCCGCCGCGGCTTACACTTACTCGAGCGAGGAGGACGCGGAAGACGACGACGGGGAGCACTCGCACGCCGATTCCCTGCCCACCTCCGCCTCGGCCATGCCTCCACCTCCGCCGCCAAGGTCGGCCTCCTATGGCATGGAGCTTCGGCGGCCTCCCTACTTGGCCCAGCTGGGACACCAGGCTGCGCACGTCTCCAGGGGAGAGGCCGGTGGCTCCATGGGGGAGTTGAGAGAGCCCAAGCGTCGTCAGGGAGACGGGCGAGGCTATGGCGGGGGCAGGGCGGAGTGGCGCGGATCTTCGGGCGACAACTGGGAAGGCTCCAGGCGGTCCCTGAGCCAGCCGAGGGACCCTGGCACCAGCGCGTCGCCCGTCATGGATGACTTGGACAACATGCTGATGAACGAGAGCATTCACCAGACCAGCGCTATCATGGACTCGGCTAGCGACGCAGGCAGCGACGGAAGCACCTGCCGCGCCTCGGACAGACCCCGGAACGCGCACCACCAGCACCAGCCGGCTCATCACTACGAGCAGGCGTGACCCGGATCTGAGCCGTTTCACGACGGCCGTGCGCCACCTGCAGCGACACGTCGTCGAGATCGACCGCGCGGTCTTCGGCATCACCGGCGACGTGACGGGCACCAGGCAGGAGGTCACCTCCCTCAAGGAAGCGGTTCTGGCCCTGCAGGCCGACACCGACACAATCACCTCCACCCTCGCACATCTTACAGAAGAAGCTATCGCGGCTCAGCAGAAGATTAGCTTAGCCAAGCAGGTAAAGTCTTCGCTTGTGTACACCCAGGGCTGTCGCCAAGCCATGAGCAGCAGGTGTAGCGCCCTGGCCCATGGAGGCATCCCTCTTCCTTCTTACTAACAAGAAACAAAAACCTGCTACGTCACCGCTAAAGAAACTGGCTGGAGCAACCACCTTCCTCTTGCCGTTTAGCAAACACTCGATGCACCTGCCAGGACCTCGGAAAATAGCTACCTTTGCCTTGAATCCAGAACACATTCTGCTTATCATGAGCATCTAGCAACGGCAAGAGCAACTGCCAATAGACTGTAGCGCGAGATGATACTGTCTACACGATACTAGTTTCTAGCAGGTGTACTTTTTGTCATGACTAACCCGAATGCATCTACCAGAATACCTAACAGCGACAAGCATCTACACTACCTGGAATAAAAAAAGGAAGGCTAGATGCATTCCCTCTACGTAGCTAACACCATCTACCGCGTAATTCCACTGTCCAGTTCTACTAAAATCATATTTACAAAACTAACACCTACAGTAATTTCTTGTAATCAAATAGAAGTACTGTGACTAACACCAGTTGTGATTCAACTACAAAAGTCGTTGGATTCAGCAAATGGTAGGAATGATAACAGTAACATGGTTACCTCTTGATTAATCTATTTGTATTAGGATTCACAGATAATACAGTGAGTGCATATGAGTGTGTGCAGAAATGTGTGTATAACTATCTGTATGAGTGCGTACATACATACGAATATACATACATAACCTATATATACATATAATATATATATATATATATATATATATATATATATAATATATTATATATATATATATATATATATATATATATATATATGTGTTATGTGTGTGTGTGTGTGTGTGTGTGTGTGTGTGTGTGTGTGTGTGTATGTGTGTGTGTGTGTGTATAAGAATATATACATATACATATAAAGATGTATATGTATATATATGTATATTTATTGTGTGTGCGCGTGAGTCTGTATTTCTACATGTGTGTGTGAGTGTGTGTATGTGTGTATGTGTGTGTGTGACATATATCTATATTATCTATATATACACATATATCTATAACATACATATACATGTGCGTGTGTGTGTGTATGTGTGTGTTGTGTGTGTGTGGTGTGTGTGTGGTGTGTGTGTGTGTGTGTGTGTGTGTGTGTGTGTGTGTGTGTGTGTGTGTGTGTGTTGTGCGCGCGCGGCGCCTACATACATGCATGTATATATAAATGTATATGCATATGTATGTATGTGTCAATATATATATAATAATATTAACTATATATACTATATATATATACTATATATATATATATACATATATATATATAACACTAGCTCCATCGTCTCCATGCTTCTTTTATCCTAACATCAACATCACTACTTACCCCTGTCATTACTGGAACACCCCGTTAATTGTTACAATACGAAACACCAGTTCTGCCTCTCAGGCGTTTCACATATTGTCAAGTACAATTTGTTGACACTACCCTCTACAAGACATGACAAAGAAGCACTCTGCATCCTGAATACTCTGAGCCTTAAACAGTATACTAAATATTATACCTTTTCGTCAGCATTACAAGCATTTGCAAAGGTCTGGAAACTGATTCCAATATTGGTGGATTTTTTTTCACTTCGATATTCCATTCATTCACAGAGAGAAAAAAAAAACTTGAACGATAAACTATGATAAGTCATGATGTTAGGGGGGGGGTAGATACGGTAATCTTGAAACATCTGACAGATATAGATGACGATAAAGAATGACTTTTCCTGGTTTAGCAATGAAACACCAACTTAAAAGGCATTACGTGGGACGCACTCCGAGGACAAAATCATTTTAAGGAAACACTTTAAGGAAACAATAAGTGCTGTTCCGATGACCCTCGAAACTTTACGTAGAGTCGCGTGTCATAACAAGTTATTCCTTCATATAATCATAAAAGTTAGCAATACTTAATTTTCTAATGAATTTGTTCATTCGTGGAGTGCTACATCCCCGTCAACTAGGGATTTCGCTAACAATTAACTCCAGGATTTTACACAAAATTTGGGGATTAAAAGCAAAGAATTAGGTCCTGCGGCTGGATAACTAAAACATCAATACAAAGAGTTACTTGTATAAGAACAGGAAAATATACTTCCTTATCTTTTTCTTTAGTATTCATCAGGGAACATGTGGTTATATGCAAATCTGAAAAATAAGCTTAACCGCATGTCTGAAAATGATACTGAAATGTTATACTTTCATTAAAAAGAAGAAAAAAAAAATCAACGTCACTGCACCTGTCTTTAATCCTCGGTCAAGATCGTATGATAATTTCAATAAAAAAGTTATCTAGCGTTATTTTACATATCTAAGATATTTAGTTTAGAATAAGGATAAAATTCAGTATCATGACAAGGTCATAGGGAAAAATAGACCAACTGGTACTCACGAGATATTCAAAATTACCACAAAAAAAAAAAACATCTTACAAAAACTTACAGAGGTCAGGGACAACACAAGGTCAAAGATCACCCGAATTACTGGCTGTCAAAAGAGGATTAAAAAGGGATGAAGAACGGCACTTTCAAACTTCTATACCTTTAGAAAAAGCTTATTCATTCTCTAACCAGTTACATAAGAAGATTTGTCCAGACCGATATAGATGAGAATGACTCAAGTAAGACTGAGTCAGACGGGAGTGATGAATAATATCTAATTAATGGGTTTAAACACAACTTCTTTCCACGCCAAAGAGGATCCAGTCAAATTAGGATACACAGCGAAAGGAGAGTCATGTAAAAGAAGATATTCCTGCAGTTTTTTTTTTTTTTTTTTTTTTAGACATAGCAAGAATGCGTCTCGTAAGACTAGACTTAGTATGAATGAGTTAATTACGACTGTATCCCGTAACCAGGTCAGCACATGAAATGACCTCGAAGGAACTTACATTAGAAAGACACTTATCTCATCGTAAGGAAGTTCTTAACTAGTTGCTAAACAGATGAAACTGTTGACCGATATATATTTAAGGAATCATAATCATTCAGTTAGTTTTATTTATATGCTTATCATAATTTCCACACAGTGAATACACAACTAGAGGTACACATAGTCTTCTACACAAACACATATATTATGAATGACTTCGCGTGATACTGTACTGTCAACTGTGTTTTTTCTTGACCTTGTTAATGAATATCAGAATACCACACAACCATTAATCAGTGTGGGAGTGTATGAGCATAAGAATGAAAGTCGTCGTTCGGTGTTCCAAAAAAAATATGATGTTGTCTGTCTATGCAATAATATTTGTATTTTTATAAGTTTTACTGTTTTTTGAGTGATGTTGTCGCGTATACAGATTGTTATTGTAGCTCCATTTACTTTCGGTCTGGTTTTCATTTTTCATTTTTTAGCTTTAAGGAGGTGGGAAGTTCACCACTCTGAAGCATGTTTCCCAGACCGATTCGGTCACGGGACGAACAAGCCTAATCCAGTATTGCGGAGATAAAATACCTCTACAGTAAGAAAATATGGACATAATTTTGTACATGGACGTGTTAAGTTTTCTTTCCTTTTGCACTTCCATTTATCAAACTCCAACAAAACACTATGTAATTAAGAAATAAAAAAATGAATATCATCTTACAATTAGGAGGAATCTATGTCTTTTGTAGACATATTTTGATACTGAAGTTAATGTGTAAGAGAATGTTATCCGCGAAGACCAACTTAACATATCATTTGTACTCAACTCTTTCTATCTGGCTTCTTGCAGCCGTTTTCTAAGGAATAATGAAATTGCTTCTACACAGGAAGACTGGCAACTGAGAAATTTCGTTAGGAGTTCATTTCAGTAATGTGTTTCGTGATTTATAGAACTTGTAATCCTTAGAACTCTAGTTTGCCTTGTTATGACTAATCTTGTTGGTATATGACTATGATGTAGATTTGATCGCATGCTGTATACCTACTCGTGGGCATACAACCATACACGTGGGAACGAACACGAACAGTCATACATACAAACTTACATAAACATAAAATTTGTGTGTGTTTTAGTGTATGTATTTGTGTTCGGACACGTGTGTGTGTGTGTGTGTGTGTGTGTGTGTGTGTGTGTGTGTGTGTGTGTGTGTGTGTGTGTGTGTGCGCGCGCGCCTATATGCAATACCTAACTGTATACATAATAGTATATTATACGTATGTATGCAGCTAGCTATTATCATTAAAGTACGCGCCAACACGCACAAGTGCAGTATACCAGTACACGGACAAAAAAAAGACATGTAGAGTAATATTCATATATCTATAATATAGAGAACTGCGGAAACACTAGTTAAAACCGAGGCACTGACTTTCAAGAATGATCAAATCTAACCCACTTTCTTCTGCTAGATTCCACTTCTTATTCATGTTAAGAGTCATTGCCTTTATAACTGATTTGTCTACCTAAAGACTAGCACGTCATTTGACAAGGCCAACTAGAAGTTTACTAGAATTCTCTGTACTTACCATAATCTCATCATTTATAACTATTGACCACAAATAAGGTCATGTTATGTTGATGTTATATTGTTACATGTTAATTGTGAATTCAATACAGGATTGTCTAAAAGCAATACTTTCAATCTAACCTAATAACCTCTCATTAGAATTAACATTTCCCTAACCAATTATTGTCCGAGTAATCACAGTCTATATTCCGTATTATTTATCACAGTCACGTGGATGTACGTATACAAGGTAAGAACTGCAGCTTAATTCGTATTAGCTTGATAAGGTGTACGCTTTCGTATCAATATTTGTTTGTTTCTTTTTGTAGTGGATTCATTACATCAAAATGCCTAATTGTACCTGTCTTTTTAAAGTTCTTGTTTGGTATTATATCCAGTAAAGTTTCTGTACACAAATGAAAACACACATAATATATGTGTATATGTATGTGTGTACATACAAACAAACACACACACAAACATACACACACACAAAAACACACACACACACAAACATACACACACACAAAAACACACACACACACAAACACAAACACACAAACACACACAAACACACATACACAGTATACACAGCAGTCAACTGAAATTTTAGTAGTAATGCGCCGTATCTTAAGTATCCTATCAATGTTATCCTTTTTCTTTTCGCAACCCTATCCATACTTTTGATTTGTTGATCAAACAGCTGATCAGTTCATCAATTTACCTATTCTTTTACACCCTCTTTTTATTTCTTCTTTAGAGCCGCGTCGACTTTCAAACAGCAATGAAAGTAAGATAATTTCTTGCTTATCGTTTCTTGCTTAGACATTCCTGCTTGGCTCGTCCTCAGTAGAAAGCTGGTTGAACAAAATGTATTTGCTATTTGCCATTCTTAACCATTTCCTTCATATTGCTGTCTTTTCTTCTTCCTTCTTTGAAAGCACATCAATTATTATTAATTACATCTCTGAGTATTTCTTAATACATTTATTTATCAATAAATTGCTTATGTCAAGATTATAATAAATTTGCTATACTGACATTTAACATTTGTGGTCCAGGAAGCTAATAATAATGCTTTAACGCCTAGATATTTAATCGGCATTATCATTATCACTGCCCTAATGAATTAACAATTTATATATGAATAATTGATTACTATAATTAATATAAATATAATTACTATTAGATGAATATAATGGGAATGAATCCAACTCTATACAGTATTCATAACTCTAGGCTTTTTAAATACTAACTGTAAAAGTGCATAATAACTATTAAGATCTACCATGAATTAAGGTCATTCCTGATAAAGAAGTGTGTAATATGAATGTTAAGTTATGGCGGACCACAGACTAGAGAGAGAGAGAGAGAGAGAGAGAGAGAGAGAGAGAGAGAGAGAGAGAGAGAGAGAGAGAGAGAGAGAGAGAGAGAGGGGGGGGGGGAGGGAGGAGGAGGAAAGAGAGAGAGGGGGGGAGGAGGGAGAGAGAAGAGAGAGAGAGAGAGAGAGGAGGAGAGAGAGAGAGAGAGAGAGAGAGAGAGAGAGAGAGAGAGAGAACTATTAAAAATAACTATGCATACATCGTGAGAAGGCAATTGCTACAACACCAGAACAATATTTTCCGTTCACCACTTCCCCAAATAACCACAAACTTCCGTAACACCTTGTCCATTTCCTCAACAGGAAGCAGAGGGTATACAGCGGTCGGTAAAGGCAGCCTTGGCCGAGGCAGAGCAGGCTAAACGGGATCAACAGAGGACGCGGCAAGAATACGAGGAGCTGCTCTTAGAGATGAGAAATGTGGTCAGAGAGATGAAGGAAACGCGAGACGTCGCTTCAGGGTCACTGCCAGGCAAGAGTGCATACAGCAGCGCCGGTAAATTGAATCTGCACGGATCCATAAAGGAAAGCCAGAGTAACAAAGACCAAAATATTCATAAAATCCAACACAGTAGTAGTTTAGGTAAACTCCCCCAAAGTAGTCTCAAATTCACTAGTAGCAGTAGTAAAGAGCAACAAATTGGCGAAAAGGAACGCACTATATGGAGTAAACCCTACCAACCTATAGTAAAAGAACATCGCCATG